CTCTGGAGCCGCCAGGGAGTGTAACTGGAGGGCGCTGCTCCCAGCTAAGGCCGCTGGGAGCTGCCAATCGTGGGCTCCCAGCCCCCTCTCACGCCTTCGCAAGCCTACCGGGATTGAGTCAGTGTCCCTCGTTATATGGTCCTCGCAAGCTGCTTTTCTGTTGCTTTTTCCCATCAATTTGTCTGTGTTATAGTTGTAATTCCAGTTTGGTTCTGGGAGATGGTCTGTGTACCTCCGTTCACTCCGCCGCCATTTTTTCCTCTGTCAGTTACAGGTATTTCTGAATGAATATTATCATATTTATGTGGATGATAAAAATTAGTATTCCTACAGATAATTATAATTCATGCCTAGCAGACTATGTTGGTATGTTGGGATTTTACACACACACACACACACACACACACACACACATCTGTATGCATGTAGATATGATGAAAAATATTATTGGCTTTTAGTGAGTAATCTTTATACACACACATACACACATATATTCATATATTTACATAGGAATCTCTATTTTCAAAATGTTATAGCAGAGACTATAACAAATTGATAATGAATCTGAAACCATTTGGGAAAGTAGCCAGGAGGAAGTAGAGGCTACATTTCAATTTGTATGTTAATGATTTTAGTTTGCCTATATTTGGAAAATCCAGTGTTCAGGTAAGAACTCCTTCCTAGTTGCCAGCCTCAAAAACTGTTTCAAGCTAATTAAAGCATAAAGGAATTTATTGGCAGGATTTTGGTGGGTGCAGTGATAGGGAGCAGTTCACAGAATTACCAGGAAAGCTGGAAATCAAGGTTTATAAAATAGTGCCAAGCAAAGATGCAGTTAAAATAATCAGATTGCTAAGGATGCTATGATAGGTAAACTCTGTGTTTCCAGATCATCCACTGTCACAGGCGTGGGTTCTTTTGCCCCAGCACTGGCTGCTGTAACCTCAAGGATCTTGATTCCAGCACAATCATAGCAAATAAACTCTGAATATCTACATGCTTTGACCACTCCTCCTGGATGGCACATCTGGTGAGCCAGGTTTGGTCACACCTATCTCTCCAGCTGCCTTGAGGAGAGAAGAGGGAAAATCTTCTCCCTGAAGTTTTTGCAGGGAGAAGACAGATCCTTCCTCCCACCTGCCTTGGTTTACCCACCCTCCAGGATATTGGGTACCAGGAGACTCCTGTAAATAACAAGTAGAGCCACCAAGAAAGAGAGAGGCAACCTGAAAACTGTTTCAGAAATTAAAGGCTCAGGAGTGGTCCCTTAAAGAATTTCCCATCCAGATAATAGACATCTTCTTCTCCAAACTTCTCCCACCCTGAATGCATATGAAATAATAGCAGAAGTATTTTCATCCTCTTTTGTATAGATAGACATTTAAAGAGAGCCATTCTTTCTCAGAAACATTAATGATGTCTGGTAAAGTAGCTGCACATGATACAGTAACCTTTCTAAAAAGCATGATAATGTGATGAAAAGGGTTGCTGTTACCAGATACATATTGATAGGCTCAGAAATGGGTCCTCTGAAGCCAAATAGTTAGAGTCAAAACCTCCCTCTTAAAAGGGCAGTTGACCTCGAATAGCCACAGCAATCTTGAAAAGGAAGAACAAAGTTGGAGGGAACATAATACCAGATTTCAGGTTATACTACAAAGCCACTGTAATCAAAACAGCCTGGTACTGGCACAAGAACAGGCATATAGACCAGTGGAACAGAACAGAGAACCCAGAAATGGACCCAAGGCAATATGCTCGATTAATATTTGACAAAGGTGGCAAGAGCATACAGTGGAGTAAGGACAGCCTCTTTAATAAATGGTGCTGAGAAAATTGGAGAGCTACTTGCAGAAAAATGAAAATAGACCATCAACTCACACCCTATACGAGAATAAACTCAAAATGGATAAAAGACTTAAATTTAACTCAAGAATCCATAAAAATCCTAGAAGAGACTGTAGGCAACAAAATTTCAGACATCATATGCCGCATACTTTTTACTGACACATCACCTAAGGCAATAGAAACAGAGAAAATGAACACATGGGACTACATCAAACTCAAAAGCTTCTGCACAGCAAAAGATACAATCATCAAAATGAAAAGGCTGCCCACTGTATGGGAGAGCATAATTGCCAATGATATATCAGATAAGGGGTTAATTTCTAATACATATAGAGTGCTCATACAACTCCACAAAAGGAAGTCAAAGAATCCAATTAAAAAATGGGCAGAGGAACTAAATAGACACCTTTCCAAACAGGACATACAAATGGCTAAGAGACATATGAAGAAATGCTCATCACTAATCATCAAAGAAATGCAAATTAAAACAACAATGAGGTATCACCTCACACCTGTCAGAATGGCCGCCATCAACAAATCATCAAACAACAAGTGTTGGCGAGGGTGTGGAGAAAAGGGGACTCTAGTGCACTGCTGGTGGGAATGCAGACTGGTGCAGCCATTATGGAAAACAATATGATGTTACCTCAAAAAATTAAAAATTGAACTTCCTTTTAATCCAGTGATTCCACTTCTAGGAATATACCCTAAGAAGCTGAAACACCAATCAGAAAGAATATATGTACCCCCATATTCATAGCAGCACTATTTACAGTTGCTAAGATCTGGAAACAGCCCAAGTGTCCATCAGTAGACGAATGGATAAAAAAGCAGTGGTACATATACACAATGGAGTACTACACAGCTGTAAGAAAAAAAGATCTCTTATCCTTTGAGACGACATGGAGGGACCTGGAAAGTGTCATCCTAAGTGAAACAAGCCAAACAGAGAAAGACAAGTTTCATATGATCTCACTTATTTGTGGAATATAATGAACATAACAGTCTGAGGAATGGGGTAGTCCCAGAGACGTGGAAGTGGGGTACAGACTGACAATCCCCTAAAGAGGAGGGTAGTGGGGGAGAGATAAACCACAGAACTTATATGCATGTATGCATGAACAGTGGACATGGACAACAAACTGGGGAAAGGGCAGGAAGGGGGGAATCAGTGGGGGAAAAAGGAGAAACATCTGTAACAAAAATTAATTAATAAAAAAATAAAAAATTAAAGGTCCGTTGATGGTATTCTTTACCACCCCTCACAAAATAATGGCCGGAGGAAGCAGTGGGGCTCCATCTGGGAGAGATCCTATCTTCTGTAGCCAAGCAGTCAATGTGTTTGCAATCTTTACACTTTATGTGGTGCTCTTGCAGAAGCTCAAATTGTAGAAGGCTGAGAAATTCAACCAGGAAGAACCATACCTTTTCGTGTTACTTCAGAGCAGATAGAGTGACTCTGAGAACCCAAAGGCAAAATAAAGCAGGGAGGAGTGGTAAATATATGTTGAGAAAATCACACATTATTTAGTAGGATAAATGAAAAGGTGGGTAGATGTCAAGGTCTGATATTTGAAAATGTTGGTGGGCGAAGAGTTTATCCTCCCTCCGAATCTAACCCACAATATTGAACCAGAAAATGTGTTCATGACTATTCCCATGACTCTTACCCTTTTAGATTATTTCCATTTTTTAAGACCCAGTGTCCATTTTTTTTTTTTTGATTTTCTGCTTTTAAGACATTTAGTCAGTATCATTATGGGCCAAATGCCAGGTTTGATTTCAAAGCTTTTTATTTAATATTTATTCTTTATCATTGTAGGTAGATTCTGTTTGTGACTGACTGTCTCAAGTAGACAGGGTTTCACTGGTAGATCAAACGAAAAGTGGCATCTTATTAAAGGGTGGAGGTAAACCTAAATATTTCAAGACACCTCCTAAACATTAATGACTATTTGGAGTAAAGATTCTGCAGAAAAGTAATAATGAGATTATAAATCTATTAATGAATAATAAATGATGTGATACAGCTGAACATAAAAGTTTCAGCATCAACAATTACATGGGGTTCCAAAGAGGAATTTGTTCTTAAGTGTTATAATATATTTACTATACTGCAAAATACATTTTTTAATATTCTCAGTTTAATTCCTCATTGGTGTTAATAAAACAATATTCTGGAGCTTGGTCATCTAACATAAAAATTTATAAATGGTTTAACAGTATTTCATGTATTCTACAAAAATTGCTGATAGATTTTGGTCTTAATTTTAATCTTTTTAAGGGAAAGAATTATGAAACATTTTCCTTTGCCATCCCACAACTCATAACTATTATCTAGGTAGCAAGTGTTTGGCTCACACACATAGTCATCTTTCAATTTTTCTACTAATTGTGGTGTGATGAGTTGGTGTTACCTGTTAGTCTCACACTCACATTTCTCAAGGAGTCGAGGATTACACTTTCTCATTGTTTCTAAATCAGATCTAAAATTTTATTCTAAATGACACAGATGAAGGTGTTTATTAAAGTGCAATTGTAGATTTAATAATTTAAAAATAATTTAATGGATGAACGACTCTCATCACTCACACACATCATGATAAAACAGGGCAGTGTTATGCACTTGCTTCAACAGCACCGCCTGAGATGTAGTTCTAATTCCCATCTTTCTCTCTTATTTAGAATTTCAACTTTATCCTAATCAGCTGCTGAATTGTTAAACAGAATACCACTCTATCTTTGTATTTCTGAAACTGTTTTTATTGTGGACTGTACATCTTTATGGCAGTCACATGCTAGCCAATGAATTAAATCCAGAATATTCATTTATCTCCATATTACTTCCATAATCACCCCCCTCCCTAAAAAGGGGAAACTTTCTTTCCCTTGTTCTTCTAGGTTGTTCCCATTGCAAGATGCTTGGTGGAAGTGCCGAGCGGTGGGCAGCGGCTGTGAGTCCCAGATAAGGAGCGCCTCACATTTCCCTGGCATTTCCATTTGCTAGTGAGCTGCTGCGGCCGCACGCCTGATTGATATATGACTGCAATGGCACTTTTCCATTTGACATTCTCTCTCTCTCTCTCTCTCTCTCTCTCTCTCTCTCTCTCTCTCTCTCTCTCTCTCTCTTCCCCTCCCTCCCTGTGTCGCTTAAACAACAGTCCTAACTTTTGTGTGTTGCAAATATAAAAGGCAAGCCATGTGACAGAGGGACAGAAGAACAAAAGCATTTGGAAGTAACAGGACCTCTTTTTAGCTCCCAGAAAATTCTGAGAAGAAGGGAGCCCTGCATTTCCCCCAAGGTAAGCAGGAAAACAAGCGCTGACGGCTTGCCTAGAAAATGACTTCTTTCCAAACCTAGCATTTCATCCTCCTCTCAGACAAAGAGACAACCTTTAAATACCACTTAAATTTGCATTAATTTAATTTGCATTATTCTGTAGCATGCTAGCATTGTGTGTGTGTGTGTGTGTGTGTGTGTGTGTGTTTGTTTTTGTTTTGTTTTTTAAATGGGTCTTTGAAGTCTGTGACAGAGCAGGGGAGCCTCACAGAGAGGCTGGAAAATCTCTTTTGGTTTGACTTAAAGAGATTTGATTTTCAAACTCTCTGCGTAGTTGGATGTAACTTTGTAATGGTTTTTATATTGGACCCTGTGAAAGGAGACTGAGAAGCAGCAACTTGCAGACATGGATTCCGGATTCCCCAGTAGCTTCCTTACTGCCCTCATCTCTCTTACAATGGGGGCACTATTAGCGAAGGCAAGCCTTTGAGTTTAAAAGCGCACTGTTTACTTTTATTACTACTTATGTATGCTGCTGATCTCCTGCCAGGGCTCTGCCGGAGTACTTAGGATGACTTCAAACAATAGGCAACATTTATTTCTAGCTTTCTGTGTCATGATTTGCAAGAATCCTGTTCCATTGCACTCTTTTCCCAAAGTGCAAAGGCTTTGCTTCTATAGATGCAGTCAGGAGCACTGCGGAGGATGGATTTATTATATGATTTTGATTGGGCAAAAATTCTGAGGAAATGCATGCTGTTTGCCTTGGCCTTATTGCAAAGGGTTATTTTTAGTATTCCCCTTGTCCCTGCAGCAGGACCAGTACTACCCTGTCTAAGCATCTACCGGGAAAGGATGCTCCCACCAGCATAGGGACCAGGAGCTATAGAAATGACTCTTACTTCAGGAATATTTATTTGAAGGGTTCTTTTAATCTCCTGAATGCAAGTTCTCTGTTTAAGTGAACAAGTGGGCAGTAGTACACCTGGGCATAACTTTTTCTTGGGGGACAGGAAGTTTGACTGTGTACAAAATGTTAATGACTCAAAATGCCCTGTAAATGAGGTTCATTGTAATCAAGAGCCTAGATAAACCTGCATGAAAGTGGCAGACTCCCCCTGTCTATTGAGATTCAGGTGTGGGAAAGGAAGTTATTTGGCAAGATGAGAGTCCCAGGTTCTATTCTTTGCAACTGTCATTAATAACAAATATGGATGCTGTTAAACACGTCTCTTTTTGTTCCTAATATTAGTGTATTTTAATTACAATGAACTGGCATTATAAAATTGCTCTAATACATAATATCAAGTACCAGATGCACCTGAAAACATAGAGATGCCTAAAACACAGTTTTGGTTGTGGGTGTCAACCAAATATAGCGGGAGGACTGCAGAATGCTTCTTGATTGTATGTTTAGAGCAAATGCAAATAAATATCTGTTTATTTTCTTCTCCCCATTCTGGCTTCTGAAAGTAATTTTAGTGTTCTATTGACCAGTTTTCATTGTGGAGGAGAGACATGGTTTATGGGGAACCTTTCTGATTTTCTTGAATAACTAGTCTAGTAGGTATTATTGAAAGAAAATCTGGCTTTTCAATGAGTTAATTTACAAGTTTAGGATACTCACTGTTTGAGAAAGCCTTTAACCATGGTATGAATTCTATTGCTATACACTTTTACAGTGATTTTTAAAACTGCTGCTATTAAGGAATTTAGCCAAATCAAAACAATTTTCTTAAACTATTATTCAGGTTATTACATAAGAGTGAACACGAAATGCAGTGTTTTGAGTAATCTACTTTAAAATACATTTTGTTCAGGTAAAAAGAAAACTGTTTGAGGCCTTCTTGATGACTGTGTACCAAGCAGTTGACACCCACAGATGAAAACACGCCTGTGGAGTTTTCTATTTTAATTTGAGTTCCAATTATACTGTCAAGGAGAAAATTAATAAATTTTCAATACCTTTAGCAATTTCAAACTCATTTATTTTCCTGGGACCTTGAAAAATGTGGTGACTTTCTCAGAATTATAGCCACTAATGGTGGCTGGCAATTTTGACTTCGTTTCAAGAACTCACAATTCAAGTACTATTATTCTGCTTGGCTAATTATTCATTCCATTATTCTTGTAATGAATTATGCTAGTTCTGATGGATGCAAAAGTGGATGAGACATTGTTCCATGCCCTTATTCTCAGTCTGTATGTTATCTCCAGTTAGATTTTGGAACTGAAATGGACTTTGCCAGTGGGTAAATTGGTCAATGACCTCCTTATTACCAGGAATTATTTTAAAAATCTGCTAGTATTCAGATTTACTTGAAATGCTTATTACTTATCAATGAGTTTTCTTACCATTTATGATTATGAGGTTCCTGTTAGGCCTTTATCATTGGTTTCTAGGTATATGTAATTTGCTTAGCTATCATGGCCTGGATCTTTCCTGCCTAGGTAGAAAAAACCTGGGAAAAGAGCAATTGAACCTTTTTTCACCTTTTATAAATGACCAAGTGCTGTGTGTATCTAGGACGGCTGTGTATCACCTACTCAGAAGCTGACATCAGGGCCACTGATGAATCACTGAATTAGAAATATGTACAGAGGAAGATGCAGTCACTATTTCCCACCACTTACTTTTTCCACCCCCAGGATCAAAAGCAATGACCTGTGGGCCTGGTGTAAATTCAAGAGGTCCCTGGGGAAAATCACCAGAAGTTGTTCTCCAAACCCAGGTCTCTGTGAAAGCCACACACAGTGTTGCTTTCAAATAATACCATCTCGTGTTTTCTGACATGGGTAGGTTACTGAAAAAAAAAAACACCCTGAAAACAGTATCACCACAGTCCCTGATTTGGTCACCAGAGTCCCTGACTTGGTCCTTATCAGCAGATAATTACCCCCTCCCTGTGGGTGGATTAAATGCCTCTGATTCCCTGGGGTGCCTGAGTCACCCTAGCTAGCTCTCAGCTTCTTGGCCAGCAGCCTTCCATCCCATCCTCACCTCTTCCTATGATGGTCAGTATGCTACTTTGTCCAAGTCTCATGGATGGGCCAGTGGGAGCAGAAGGGATGGAGAGGCAGGTGGAAGGACTGAGAAGTGCTAAAGCAGAAGGAAGTTGGGCCATGCGAGGATGGGTGAGCTCCAGTGACCATATTTCTGTGGTCTGCCATGGCTGTGATCAGCTGTCATTTCCTCCTCGTGTATGACACTGTGCAACATATTAAAATTTCTCTGGGATGGTATGTTTGGAATTCCTCTGATGCCCCACCTCAACAACTTACCCGGACAATAAAAGCAAGGTTGTAAGCCTTTGAACAGCTGGCAGGCTATATATTTCCCCTCTTTCTTTCGCATAATCTAATTCAGAAAACAATCCAGCTAGACTGGCAGTGCCATGTCTGGGTACTTGTTTCCTGCAAGTGTTTCCTCTACCACCTCCTCCCACCCTCCCTGGAATCTTCCTGGGTGGCATGTGGCTTTCTTTTTTTTGCTCTCCACCACTCCCACTCCACCCCTTTTTCCCTTTGCCTGAGCTTCTTCCATTGTGAGCTTGCCCTTTGCTCTGCCTGTTTTCCTGACAGCCTGGGTCCTGTTCTTTGAGGTTTCCCCATCTCCATAGTATTCCCAGGATGTCATTGTTGGCAGCAGCTCTGCTGGGCTGATAGGATTGGGGGGCTTTTGGAGCCTTGAGCCTGAACCCACTCACAGAGAGGAACAGCCACATGGCTCTGCTGCCCTTTAGGCTGCTGAGAGCAGGGCTGGAGTGACCCGGGCTGGCAGGGACAAACATACCATCACAGTGACCCACACATCTCAGGCAAAGGGCTGGGGGTGGGAGTGCTATGGGAACGCTTGGATGCACTTCAGCCTACATTAAGAGAAATGTGGTTATTCTGCCTTTCAGAGGAAGGGACAAGTGACTTGAAACAAAGCTCCCTGGATCCTTGGGCCCTGCCCTGCCCCCTTTCTCTATCCTTCCCACATTCTTCTCTTCCCAAGGAAAAAGGCAAGACAGGACTTTTAATGTGGCTAGCATAGGCCTGAATTTCTTTATGAAACCCATTTGGTAAAAGGGAAAAGGGAGAGATGGATCTTGGGTTGAGCTGAACTAAAAATGCATAGGTCTGGGGAGATGAGGGAGGACTTTTTCTGTTTTTTTCTTTTTTCTCTCTCTCTTTCTCTTAACACAAAACAACGCATTAGTTTATGAGTTGCAAATGGAAAAAAATAGACTTTTCAATTAGACATTCCCATTTAAGAGTCTCATGTAACCCCCTCTGTGCAGCATCCTTAAAAGATACTGCTAATATCTTTGGGACCAAAAGGTATTAAAGAACATTCTACAATGCAGCTTCCTATTTCTTTTATTTTCCTAGGGGCTTTGGTAGTCTTTCTGAATTAGCTGAAGTTCATTAAAAGACCCAAAAGAAAAAATTTAACACAGCTGAATTAAAATGAGCCTTTTCCTGTTAGCTTGACAAGAAAAAGAAAAAAAAAAGAGAGAGAGAGAGAGAGAAGAAAGAACCAACTCCCCTCCTCTGCCACTTCTTGGATTTTAATATGAATTATTCCATACAAGTCCCTAGGCTAGAGGATCTATTTAAAGACGCCTGGCAGCATGAAGGGAGAGGGTAAAAATACAACCACTCTTTTGTCCATCAAAGGTTTTCTTTGGGAGGACATTAAGAGCATTTCTATTTTCCTGTCTGCCCCTGCCAGTGGCAACATTCCAGCTAGTAGTACCCACTCCTCACCCATCAGATCAGCAACCATGAACTTCTATGTTTGCTTCCAAGAGAAAACAAAGACTGGGGAATCCTTCTAAAACCTCTATGTTGTACAGCTGGGGTAGGAGAAGCTGGTACTGAAATAAATGCTGGCTTGGCTGTACAGGTTGCATGCTGCAAATTCACATACCCACACATTTGAGTTTTTGAGAATAATTGTGCCGATGGCATTATTTCTGATGCCAACTCCCCTTACATCTGCAAGCTTTTTTTGTGTGTGTGCCAATAGTTTAC